ATTATACTTACAGGCCATAATCTGTCATCAGGGTCTGCCTTCTGCAAGGTCATCTGAATAACACCTTGACCATCAAATGTCCAGAAACTCTCATCAGGGATCACTCTACTGTAGAACTCTCCATCAATAATGGGCTCCTGTCCCTTTATACCCAATGTCCATCTACTTGGGGTTAATTTATTCAATATGGAAGACTTTTTGGTAGTCGAGGACACTGAAATCAAGACCGTAATAGTCCCATCATCTTCATCTGTTTCATTCCAGCTGTACTTTGCAGTCGTTCCTCTGCCATAAACTATTTCATTAGTTTTAGACTCTTCATTATCCTTGAGGTATTTYTTGTACATTTTTTGGATAAATTCCTCAGACACGTTTTTCTTGCTTTCCTCATCTAATGATGCAGTAAAGCCATACTTGAAATCTTCATAATCAAGAACCTTCTCCTTCTTTTCTGGTACATCAACATTTATTTCTGGACCTTTGYCTTGATCACCACCTTCAGCATGAAGTAGGGCATGTATGAGGTCATTGTTGGATTTCTCCACACATTCTTTAGCCCTTTCTTCATCTACTCCACTAAGTTCTTGAACAACTGTTTCTTGTTCCAAAAACTCTCCCTCCACTGTGTAAAACAAGCAACAGAAGGCATTAAGACAGTAGTGGTAAGTGTACTGTTAGTAAGTGCATATAGTGTGTACTTTTGGTTATGTCTTCATGATATATGTGCTCACCAAATATGATGTTTCTTTGATTTATATGTATTCTATTCCACTTTTCTTTTGGGGGGGGCACAAACAAATATGATGTTTTCAGGGGGGAGGGGAGGGGGAWTCCACATAGCCCACTAACCTATAAATTACAACTGGTCCTCTTGGGTTTTTTAATATTTGTTGAATTCAGACATTTCAAAGGCTTGTTTTGAAATTGGTTTTTATTGCTTCCACTCAAGAATATAACAGGTACTAACTGATTATTTTTGATTGACGGCATCAAAATAAAATTTCCAGCATGCAACTCACTACTGGCAGGTTCTCAGAATATCAAAAACTGCAGTAAAAGGAAATCAAGTAAAGGAGTCCCTGTTTCAWTTGTCAGTCAATTCCTTTTTGATTTACTATTTTGAAAAAATAATAATAACATGAATGGAGTTCAATCGTGTTTATTGATTTCTTCTAAGGCCCCCTCCACACTAAGCCGGATAAATTTGAATCCGAAACTTTCACACTGAAACCAAAAAAAACATTTCCCATCCACACATGAAAACGGATAAAAYGTTTCGCGTCCACACTAGTCCGATCTGAGGTGGCAAAACACTTCATTGAACATCTGAGCATGTGCATCAAAGCTGAAATTGAGCCAGCAGTGAAATTTTTAGCCTTCCMGCCATGTTCCCATGACAATCATGACGTCATCGTATTCGAAAAATTTCAGATACGAAATGTTCTCTGTCCACACTAATACGGCTAGCCTGCATTTTCAAAATTATTGTTCCACTCTGGAGACCATATTCAAAAAATTCGTTTTCGCTGAAGAATTGTTCCGGATTCACCYGGACTAGTGTGGACGGTAGGCCTAACCGAATAAATAAAAAGTCGGATTCAAATTTATCCAGCATAGTGTGGACGGGGCCTGAATGTGTATTAAACAAGGATATTGGCTTCAGTTCCCAGGAGACTCCGTCCAACTGCACGTAATGGCGTCTACATATGGTACGTCCTAAAGTAGCATGCCCTTTTGCGCTTTAAAACCAATAAGTAAAATACCTCTTTTAAAGCATGTATCAAGCTAAAAACTCCAGGAATACCTGGTCATAATTGAAATAGCACTAAATCCAACGCCCCACTGAAATAGTCTGAGACGATTGAATTACACAATACGTTCAAATAATCAAATTATGACAAACCTTGGTTACTGATGTTTTCGTTCAAACTCAACAAATCCTCCATTCTTGTTCTCAATTCAAGTTTCTTGAGTAACATTTCTTTGGCTTTACTGCTGCCATCGCTAGTCCAGGCGTGATCTACAAGGAAGACATCACCATGTTGTTTCAACGCTTCCCTGGAATGTAAAGACCATTTACCTATTTCTTCATTTTTACGCCGATCAAACCTCGACCTCGCATCGTGAATGACTCGACGTGATAGTTTATCGTAAAGCTGTTTCCAAAGATCCTCTGGGAGGCCAATAGATTGGAGTTGTTGCTGATGAATTTGACAAAAGTTTTCCCAGCTGATACACGTGTTGTTGGCCGCCATCTTCTCTTGGAGGGAAGAAACCACAGGAATCCCAAACATGCTCGTTTTAAACATTCTTCTAAAAAATAACGATTTCTCCAAAATTAAAACTAAAGGTTAGTATATAAGCTTGAGTAATTGCATTTTATACCTTACRCTTATACAACAACTTCATCTTTGGCTAATAATAAAGTTTGCCTTGATAATTCCAAGCGTTGTTAAATGGGATACCTGTGGTAATACCGCGGCCTTCAAGTCTAGTGGGAGTGGGGACGAGAACAGTTTATTCTCAAAAATCATTCCACAGAACTGAAAATTGATGAAAATTATGAGTTTTCGCAAAAAAATAAAAGTTCAAGGAGACGATCCTTATGATATCGGTGAAGAGAGTGACTCAGACGATGAGATGGGTTACAAAAGGTATAAAACAGCAAACAAATACAATCCTAACTAGCTCAGAACAACTCCCTGAACTTTTTCTTTTTTTTTCTTTTACTTTTCTCCTTGTTTCATTTATTTGTTTAGTTCAGACGACGAACTGGAAATCTCGAATCGTTTAATGGAGGAAGTAGAAGAATGTATAGGTACAGACAGTGAAGATGATTTCGAGAAGGAAATGCAGAGAGATCTCGACGAATCTTTACACCTAAAGGCCAATCAAGGTAAACTTTGAACTTAAGCTATATATTTTTTTAGTGTTATTCAACATCTTACCCCATGTAGAATCAATACTAAGAATATTGTCAGAAGGGTGATAGGCACTTTAATAATACCTACTATGTAAAAGGATGACTCTGTCGTGCAGCTAGCWGTCACATGTGATAGCAGACTGTAAATGAAATACTTTATGTTCCGTATTTTTGTAGATATAAGTATTTTCGTACATATAGGCTTATATGCAAGCCGTTTAGAGGCTAGATGAAGGGGACGGAGAAAACTTTGAAAGACTTATATAAAATTCTGATAGTTATGCAAACATGTAGAGTTGGTGAACTTGGAGAGGTGGTCACTAAATTGAAAATGCTAGTATAAATACTTTAAGACATTTCAAAACATAAATGTCAACCTTTCTAAGTATAATTTTTTCTCTTTTCTTTCTTTCTTTCTTCCTTCCTTCCTTCCCTCCCTCCCTTTCTTTGTTTTCTTTCATCATCTGTCTTGCTTATTATTCAGAATCAGTTAAGTCAACTACTTCAACATCAGCGTTAGCAAAAACTGGCTCAAATGATAAGCAATCAAATGATGATGCCACTGCATCAAAGAAAGTTGAACTGTATGATGAGGATTACTTCAGCTCCGGTTCAGAAGATAATGATACGGTTGGGGGCATGCCTTCGAAGTCTAAACAACGGCGGGAAGTTTTGACAAATGATGAGTTATTCTATGATCCTGATATGGATGATGAAGATGAGAAATGGGTGACCAAACAGAGACAACAACATATGAATAAAGGTATGCATATTATGTGGATATCCTACATGACTGCTAAGTAAAGCAAAATTAATAATTAAGAAAAGGTGAGATTTGAAAATCATTTCTGATAAACTTTTATGTTTGATGTCTCTTAATGAGACAGGACTGCCATTTTGAGCCATATCAAGGTCTCACTAATCATTKGCAGATAATTTATTTCATATCATTCTTTACATTATTATATGGGAAGCAAGGGTGGTGCAGCAGTGAGAGCGCTYGCCTCTCACCAATGTGACCCAGGTTCGAGTCCTGCTGGGCTTGGTGTTGTATGTGAGGAGAGTTGTTTGTTAGTTCTCTCCTGTGCTTTGAGGTTTTTCCGGGTTCTATAGCTTTCCTCTCTCTGCAAAAATCGACTTCTAAATTCCAATTGGAATCTAGTGGAAGAAGAGCCACTCTGTGGAATCCACTAGCCTGTTAATCCCATTATCATCATCATCATCATCATCATCAAATGTATATATTAATAAACTTGTTATGAATAAAGCGGTCACTTCTAGTTACTAGATATTTTTAGACTTCAATTGTTAATCCAGCTCGGCCTTGAACCTGTGACGTCCATGATGTCCTGACTTATTGGCTTTCCTGGACTTAGGAAAAATTAATGATTGTGTATTTTTCGTTGATGTTTATATAGCAAAGGACAACACAGCTAGCGCAACAAGCAAGCCCAAATCTAAGGTCCAGAAAGTTCCAACAAGYGATGCTATTTTATCTTGTCCTGCATGTATGAGTACTCTGAGTATTGACTGTCAAAGGTGAGTTAATGCTTATGCAAAGTAGTGATGTGATATGTAGAGATAATGGATTACCTGTGTCAAAGATATCATGGATTTGCAAGGCACATTGGTAGAAACGTTGAACCCTCAAATTAACCGTAAATTGTGCTCATATGCTTGTAAAACGTAGTCATTAAAGAAAGGAGTTTCATTTACAATGTATTATATCAAACCGTTTCCCACATTTTAATCAAATTTGACAGTGTGTACGCTACATTTTGTAACAGAGACAAACACACAGGAAACCCAGCTTAAATCTGTGGCAGCCTGTCATTTGCCTTTATTACCTTTCATCATCATCATCATCACAAACCAGCATTATTATGATGATCATTATCATCACTAACATTCAGTAAATATCATCAGTCTGCATCATCATGATCATTACTACCATCATCATTATTATCATCATTATTATCATCACCTGCATCAACCTTATAACCATTGTCATCATCATAAATCATAAATATTTGATTTTTAATGTCTTACTCTTTATCATGTTCTAAAGGCATGAAATCTACAACAACCAATACAGAGCCATGTTTGTCATGAACTGCGAAGTAGTAAGAGATGAAGTACTGAAATACCAAGATCAAAGACACAAAAATATTGGGAAAAGAARGGGAAAACAGAAGGGGAAACTAGTCCCAGAAAATATGGAAGGACAAAGCACATCAGAAAACATGAACTGTGAAACATTTAATCCAGTCAAATGCAGTGAATGTGGAACAGAAGTAGCTGTCTTTGATAAAGATRAAGTCTATCATTTCTTTAATGTCCTGACGAGCCATGCATAGAAATGTATAATATTATTTACACCCATGTATATATTGTTTGGTATCATTTATATAAACAGTTAAGTTTGTGATTGCTTTAACTTTTTGATATTAAAAAGGGGCAGCTTTCAAGGATTGGAATTCCCAAGAGAGGGGGAAGGAGGTCTCGTCAATTAGGAAAGGTACTAATTAGTAATTAAAAAGCAGAAATGCAAAACTCCTCAATGAATATCTATAAAACATAATTCAAAAAGAGGTTGTTAGAGTGAAAGGAGATTGGCGATTGGTCATTATATATGGACGTGAACATGAATGGATTTTTAAATAGATTTATTGACTACAAACAACACAAAATATCTCAATAATAACCTTTAGTCGGTGTTCTTTACAAAAATAATAATAAGGCACACCAGTCATTTCTGCCGATTTTCGGAACTTGGAATGACCTATCTCCTATCACTTAWTGCCTTTGGCTCCAACAGCCTTTAAATTTAAAAAAGGCATATCAATCGATTGTAAAGAAACTAACTAGCTATCTTAGTATTTATAATTAGTTTCTAATATTATATAATAATTTTTGAAATACTATCMATTCATTTTCCCAAAAAGACATGGCTTAGAATGGTTGTCCTTAAATCTACCTCCAGTTTTGGTATGACCGTGAAAAGCYCAATGCTATATGCATGCCTTGCCATGACCATGAAGTTCTCTAGAATTTTGATTGGCATTTTTTTAAYGCAATGTRATTGGTCTGGCAGTGTCRTAACTGTCCGCACWGTGTKCGTGCCGTGTTTTGAATATTTGATTTGATGGAGAGTATAATCTAGCAAGATGTAATTGGTCAGACATATACCTTGCYGAGTCAAGATCATGTTCGTGCCACTAGGTTTTCACAGTCATACGAAAAAAAAAAAACGCTTGATAAAGTTTTGAGCTTCCTTAATTTCTATACCACAGGCAGCCCAACCAATAAAAACAGTTTCGGCAAAAACAAACAAAAAACAAAAAACCAGGGCTTAGCAAAAACTTATCGTTTTCTTTTTAAACATAAAAGCAAGCTGAAAAAAAAAACCAAAAAAATTTTGGCCACTGCTATTTTTCCAAAGCAATGGAATATTCTCTTTTTTTTCTTTTTCGAATCAGTGTATGCAGACGTGTTGGATGACTAATTCGTTCGGATTTTTCTTACTTTTCGCGGGTATTACAATTCTTGTCTACTCCATATAAGATTATCTTCCTCTGGTCGTGGTTCGTAGCCCCGTACGTACCCAACAGCCGGATATTTCTTCATGTAAACGTTCTCGAAATTATCTTCGAGTCTGTCAAATTCTTCCTTGGTCAATCCATCCTGACGGGGGGAAATAAATATTTTTTAATAATACCGAGATTAAGAAAGCCTAAGGTAAATAAAAATTGGATAGAAGATGTAAAAAAAGTCGGTGCAAAAAAGAAAACATTTATAGAAAAGTAAAAAAAAAATCTAGCAGAGCGAGGTTTCGATCCTCGGACCTCTGGGTTATGGGCCCAGCACGCTTCCACTGCGCCACTCTGCTCTTCGATATTTTCCCTTAGAAATAAATGATATATAAAGTAGTTACATAATTAGCATATTTTCCTTCTACTTACAAGCTCTGGTATCATGTCTTTAGGATCCATAGACCACTTTGCTATAGCTCGAGAAGCATCTTTTCCTGTGAATACATTATAGGGTTTTCCCACACCGTAGTAATCTACAGGAAATAAAAAAACATGAAAAGTAAAATTTCAATAGATCTCTTTAGTCTAGAATATAGTATTTTTTGGTAAAAATGTTCAAAATAATCATAGCTAGAATATTTTACTCGCTAAATAAGAGCTAAATATCATAAATTTATTTTAAAGTTGGCTATTGAAAATATGATGCTTTAGKTTTCCGCTAGAAAATCGAACAGCTGAATGGGTTCCACAAGAAGGAATGTTAGACATTCCAAATTAAAATAATTAGAAGTTGCGTATATATACAAATACGCTGAACTTATATYATTCAAGCCGTTTCTCTGATATTCTAAGTGCCAAAGGAAATTACAGTTAAAAAAGCGACAATAACTTAAAAGTTTAGAAAGAAATATTTGCCGTACCTTTGCCCTGTGTCACATCAAACACTACTCCTTTGACAGCGACGTAGATTGGAAGTTCTGACTGAAAAAAATACCGCAAAAAATATTTCAAATGGATATTGATCCCATTTGTGCAGAGTAATATAGCTTTCATCAGCTAAGACTTGTAATTACTAGCTATGCTGTCAAAATTTTGTGAAGGAATTTGAGCGGGTTTAATGAAACTCTGATTTATTTTAAAATAGCTTACATTTTGCCCATTGTAAGAAGAAAGCTCTTCTAGACTAAATAGTCTATGACCTGATTCAGTAGAAAGGTTTTCATGGAGGTCTGAGAAAGGAGCGTGAGGTGCTTTGTCTTTAACCTGGACTCCAATGCAACAACTGACTGCAACAATCACCAAAACAAGACTAGGGGCCGCCATCTTGTATGTCACATGACTATACCACCCCTCCCTTAGCTACTACATTTATTATGCTTCATATTTAATCTGATCTGGTTGATAAAGTTTCTTAATGCTTGCGTTTTGAAAAATGTATCTTTGGTTGACTCTAATCTTTGTCTAATTTTAATTTTTGTGACAATTGTATGGCATTGAATTGGTGGATGGAAGGATGGAAGGAATATTGTATGGAAAGATGGATGGAATTTCTAACCCAGAGACTCATTCAATGTGGAACTCTTCTCGTCTTTCTTTTTTTCGAGCCATTGTAAGTTAGAGTTTAGCAATTTTAAAATGATTAAGTACAGAACCAAATGTTAAACGAACGCGCATTCGATAAAATGTATTAAAATATATAGGTTTTCACTTTCACTTAAATCATAAGCTACCTAATATTAATTTTCACATTGATTGGTCATTTACTACCACGTCTTTAAACGATGGATTGCGTGACCGATTGATAAAGTAGTGTGACCGTAACACGGGATGATCGAGTTTTGGAAACAACTTAGCAAAGTCGGTTACTTCTTTTCCAGGTATTTTATCATCTGCAAGACGTAATAAACCTAATMCACTGTTTTCCCATTTCAGACCACCTGTCATTCCCTAGAGTATCATTKCTTTGTTTAACGGTTGCACATGAAAAGACACATGAATATTGACATAACTCAAACAAAGAACCTTATTCTCGAGAAAATGACACGTGGTCTGAAATTGGAAAACATTACGCCCAAGTGGACTAGGTCTATCGATCCTTTTGAAAATTTGGAACAACTTGGCACGTCCCGCCGCCATCTTTTATCCTCTGCCCATCACCAGACAAAATGCGGATTTAGTCTCGACGTTAATATATATCTTTAGTCTAGGTACCCTGCKAGCAGAGGCTTTTTTTCTGACCCTCCGTGGACCAGCTCCACGGAGGGTCAGRAAAAAAACCTCTGCTCGCAGGGTATAGTCTAGATGACCCGAAGGAGTCCTAATCCCATTTCCCACACTCCATTTTGACCAAATCTCATAGTCCCAGCCTATGTTTTGCTCAAATTCATTCCCTTTTGTTTGTTTGTTTGTTTGTTTGTTTGTTTGTTTGTTTGTTTGTGAATCCCATTTCCAGTGCATAAAACCCGATTTTCCCAGCTCAAAAAAGGCGAATCGCAGCTCATATTTTACCCCTTCAGGATCCTCTTTATAGACAATTCTCTCCCTAAGTGATAAATGTTTCTCTTGATCGTGATAAATTTAGCAAACATAACGTTTATAGCAACTGTCAAGCCATCATGACTGTTTCGTATAGTATAAGGGTGATTAGAGTGGAGCAGCATTGTAAACTAATGACCTCCTTACAAGCACTGCCGAGGAGACTCGTCAAAACAAGCAGTTAAGTAAAAAAATAGATGACGGGTACTTATATTACAACTTAAAGGATGATTAATAAAACATTTCGATCCAGCTGTTATAAATATGAAGAAAATAACGGTTTCTTTGCAYGTATGATATAATAAATATTATAAAAATATAATAAGAAGCTATAGTCGATGCAATCTTAGACTCAATAATTTAATGACACACTCCCAAATATTCAAAACGAAACATAAGTTCCTCGGTCGTTAAGAGGAGACTGGCAAGTAAAGTTGTGTATTATGGGAAGCCACCGGGGTTGGTTAAAATAAATAATATTTTTGCAATGGTCAATGCAATCTTAGACTTAGTTTAATGACACACTCTCAAAGATTCAAAACGAAGCACAAGTAAAGTTGTATTATGGGAAGCTAGYATCCAGGGTCCGTTATAAACGAATAATGTTTCTGTTATTCTCTCTTTCCATGTCCGTTTGTATATTGATGAATAGATAAGTGCTGTGACAATGACGTATACGAACAGCAAGTTAGAAGTAATAAAGGGAATCTATAGTTGATTTAATTCTTTGATAAGCACCTGCATTGTCATTTTCATACCCTTTTTAAAATAAAGATAAATATGCTATAAACTTTTCGTATATTCCTTAAAAGCTTTTTAACTGCTAAGACATAGGCCAGAAGTAATGAAGGGAGATTAGTTGATCTATTTAGTCAATGAAAAAGCAGCTTTAATATATTTTTAGTTCTTTTGATAAATATAAAACTAGGTTTATTATTTTATAAATATGTTTTTTTTTAAAGCAACAAAAATACAAAAGAAATATTTAAAAAAGTGAAGGAAATGAGTAGGTGCGTCGAAATCGGAACTGATGAGAAAATTAAGAAAATTTCATATAGGATATTGGGGTTTTTAATCTTTTTTGATTCAACTTTCCGAACCTTTAGGAAAAGATATTCGATTTAGCCGATTTCCATAGAATTAAGTGAATCCGTTTAGAGTTAAGTAATTGCTTCATATACGTTTTCCTTAACTCGAGTAAACAAATCACAAAGTGACTGAAGAAAATCATCAAAAGCCTTTAAATTTTTYTGAAAAATTGGGATTTCTATTCCATGTTAATTCGTACGTCAAAAATACACTCAGTTCATTTGTTGGCGGTATTTCTAAATTTAGAACTTTTATTGCTTGTTTGTTAAGTACTTCTTAGTCCCTTGTGCGTGGAAATCTTAACAAGGATTTAAATTTATGAAAGTARAGTGTAAAAAGCAGCTTGAAGTCAGGGGAGATTGATTGAACGGTTTAGACCTGCCTCTACAGARAACTTATTTGTTTATTGCCGGATGCATGATAATGACGTCTTAGTCGAGTTGTTTTCGCCTTCAAGCGCTAGTCGTGTACATCACAACGCATAATTTCAATTTTCAGTACTTGGACAGTATTGTATTATTTATAATGTTGTATACACTGTTCTTTTAAAGTGCCGAAATAAATAAAACAGACATTTACGACAGAGTCAAGGGTAAACCACGCCTGTTTATTTGTTCTTCAAAAAACATAAATTTSTCAGTTTTCAACTTYTATCAAAGCATAAAATGCAAAGTTRAAATTATAGTTTGAATTGGATTGCTCTGGTTGAATGTCCTGTAAACTTTGGCGGAGTTCCCTGTAAAAGCCGAGACGCACGATAACCAACCAGAAAGCCATTTCAGTGTTATGACATAACGTACATATAATGG